AGGCTGAGCTACCTTCAGAGCTCTGAACCGAGTCAGGCAGAGCTACCTTCAGAGCTCTGAACCGATGAAGGCTGAGCTACCTTCAGAGCTCTGAACCGAGTCAGGCAGAGCTACCTTCAGAGCTCTGAACCGAGTCAGGCAGAGCTACCTTCAGAGCTCTGAACCGAGTCAGGCAGAGCTACCTTCAGAGCTCTGAACTGGGTCAGGCTGAGCTACCTTCAGAGCCCTGAACCACGCCAGTTCAGAGCTACCTTCAGAGCTCTGAACCGAGTCAGGCAGAGCTACCTTCAGAGCTCTGAACCGAGTCAGGCTGAGCAGGCCGGCTGCCATCTCAGGGAAGAGCAGAGCGTCGTCGGAGGTTTCTGTGATGCCGAACGCGCAGGAGGCGATCGAACTCATCATGTATTTCTCGCAAAAAGATTTCGTCTGCAAAAAATAAATGATATAATCGACATAATCAATGAAGAAAAAACAATATAATCAATGATGAAAAAATAATACATCAATGATGAAAATTTTTTCACCAAATTACAATAAGTCATACGAAAATCTGAGCACCGATTGCTTAAGGGCAGCTATTCTGAAAACGGTCAGTAAATTATTTATTTATTTATTTATTTCTAATTTTAAATGTTTACATTATCCACGTATTCAAAAATAAACGTCTGACTTAGTTCTAACAACTTGAAAAATTTGTCTAACAACCGCTACTTCGTTTCCTCACTTCAATATCAAATTTATAAAACACTGATTGTTCTTGGTGTCGTATATGATTGTTGTTCGATACGGAAAAATTAGGATTGCAAATATTGTCTTTGAAATCCTTTAAAATCCTGGAATCCTGGAATCTAACTCAGGAATCAGCACCGGCTATAAAAACCTTTGCACCAAGGTGCACGCTGACAACATTGCGCGATATAATCGCGTTATCGAATTGGTATCTTATTATTCACGTCCTAATATGCAGTATGTATAGTTAAAATGATGGACCGGAATGCGATGCGGGTAAGATGCACCTCTGCGTAATGACTATTGAAGTAAAATGCATCTCTGTGGCAGCAATACTAAATAAGATACAAGCATTTAATCGGAGGCAGAACCTGCAGGCAGCAGGGGGACGTGGCGACGTCCTGCATGACGTTCTTGGCCAGCAGGTCGCCCTGCTGCTGCAGCAGCGGGTAGATGCCGCGGGAGCGGTGAGTCGTGAATGTCGGTGACACGACGTTCCTGATCATCTTCCACTCTTCGCCCCGGGCGTTGGTAAGCATCTTGTTCGCCACCGGGTTGACCTGCACGAGAGCAACAGGTTCAACTTGGCTTAATTAGGGTAGATGCTCGGTAGTCACGTTCAACGTTGACTCCAGGTGGGGCGACCTGCCTATCAACGGTGGACGACAAAGACTGCGTGACAATGGACAATTAAGTACGTCTTAAAATCGAAGTATGAACATAAACTTACTTCCGTCAATGAAATTATTAACGCTTCAGGTCCAGTGGGGATTTAAATAATTACCTGCGTTTTTAAAAAGAATTACAGGGATTAAAAGTTGTCCGATCATGATAAATTCCTTCTTTCGTCCGAAATTCAAAGTTCCCATTAAAGTCTCGCAACTTGATGACAGATTTTTGATGCATTGTACGATATTTTCAAACTAAAAATCGAATATGGCACCTGAAAATTTGAGTTGGAACTGTTTTGGAGAATCCAACTTTCCTCGTCAGTGTTTGCATCTCCCTCATTAGACGCTTGACAGTCGTGTGAAGTGTATGCTAGTGTTTGCATCTCCCTCATTAGACGCTTGACAGTCGTGCGAAGTTTATAACTGGGTTGCATCTCCCTCATTATAGACGCTTGATAGTCGTGTGAAGTTTATAACTGGGTTGCATCTCCTTCATTAGACGCTTAACAGTCGTGTGAAGTTTATAACTGGGTTGCATCTCCCTCATTAGATGCTTGTTAGTCGTGTGAAGTGTATGTCAGTGTTTTCATCTCCCTCATTAGACGCTTGACAGTCGTGTGAAGTGTATGCCTGCATGGGTTGCATCTCCCTCTCAGACGTTCGACCGCTCTCTCAACAACGCTGTTCCCATAATGCGATCGTAATCAGTTCAGAGATAAGGAAAACGGACTCTCTTCATACTCTCTTTTAGCAATTGAACTTAATGAAGCCTTTTCAACAGATTTCTCATGCATGATTGGGAATACGCCTTCCGTCGTCAGTAATAAAGAATGGTCTTCAGAGTGTGAAAGTAGAAGTTAAGATTTAATCCTATTGGTGTCAAAGTTGCAAACACTCATAAATGTCATGGTTTTCGTCTCATGACCGTATAGAACAAAAGCAAAATTTTCATCATTAGAAGACAAAGTTGTGTCCTCAAGTTGACAATGTTGCATAATTACAAGAAAGTAATCGATAAAAAGCTATAAGCAATCACTTGAGTTTAGAGGCAAGGACATAAGTGTTCATGACATGCGGTGGTGATAACGGCAGTATTGCTGTGCACAATTGGGGCTAATCAATCACGCATCTGCAGCTGCCGTTTACAATGATAATGTATGAACATTTATGGTTCATCTGAGTAAATTGAATTTGAAGCTATTTCTATATTTTTTTATATTAACTAAATTTTTGTCGAGAGTTCATATCTGCTCGTCTCATATTCCATGCATTCGTTCGAATGTGTGTATGGAAGGTTTGTGTCCGTACATCTTATATCCCATCTATTTTTAAGCGTGGCGTTCGTGGCATCTCGTCTTAAAGAAGTTGAAGAAGGNCGGGTGGCGGAAGTCGTGGCAAGACAGCAACAGAGTTGGTGCTGTCCTAGGCCAAGAACAAACTCGCATTAGGCCAGTTAGGGTTAGGCCACTTGGGGTTAGGCTAGCAGCTATAGAAATGGAGACGCTCGTGCAAGAGGCCCTCAAAGCTTGAAGAATAAGTACAAGAAAGCCTGCCTAAAACAGCTCAGCGGCTGTCTCTTATACACATCTGCGACCTGCCTATCAACGGTGGACGACAAAGACTGCGTGACAATGGACAATTAAGTACGTCTTAAAATCGAAGTATGAACATAAACTTACTTCCGTCAATGAAATTATTAACGCTTCAGGTCCAGTGGGGATTTAAGTAATTAACTTCGTTTTAAAAAAAATTACAGGGATTAAAAGTTTTCCGATCATGATAAATTCCTTCTTTCGTCCGAAATTCAAAGTTCCCATTAAAGTCTCGCAACTTGATGACAGATTTTTGATGCATTGTACGATATTTTCAAACTAAAAATCGAATATGGCACCTGAAAATTTGAGTTGGAACTGTTTTGGAGAATCCAACTTTCCTCGACTACCTATATCTGACACATCAAGAATGTTTGCAACCGCTATTCAACAACCGCTGTTAACAATTAGCAGCTATTGACTATTGCTTTAGTTGATTCTAACTATTTATAGCTACCCTCGTCTGGGTCTAAGAGGTGCAGTATGGTTGAGCCACGTATATTCAAGCTGAATAAATGGCAAGTTGAGCCACATTAATGACGAAGTAGTCTGCATTAGTCTTAGCCTCATTCCCGCTAAGAGCTTAACAGTCGTGTGAAGTGAATGCCAGTGTTTGCATCTCCCTCATTAGGCGCTTGACAGTCGTTTGAAGTGAATGCCAGTGTCTGCGTCTCCCTCATTAGACGCTTAACAGTCGTGTGAAGTGTATGCCAGTGTTTGCATCTCCCTCATTTGCTCAATTAATTTCTTTTCGGTGTTGCTGTTGGGCAGCACATGACAAGCGTTGAAGGTAATGCATGAGCATTGACGTAGCAGGTGCCCAAAATGAACTTCTGGCCAGTGTAAGCTCGGGTGGAATGATTATTATGATTGTGTTGGTGGAATGTTTATTATAACGTTCATTCGTGAATAAACACATGTGAATGCGAAGAATTGTCATTCATTTAATTTTCCTAACTTATTTTTTCCTATTCACGTGACCAACAATTGTGCACAGTGGTTACAAAAATGAGGAGAAGAGACACTCTCCTCAGCTGCACTTACTTTGCCGAGTCTGAAGGTCCGCCGTTCGTCGAAGTGGTCGAAGTCCCGCACGAGGATGCTGCGCAGGAGCTGCGGGTTGCTCACTATCAAGCCAGGCTTCAGAAACTCGTAAAAACCGCAGAAGTCGCGGCCGTTGTGCTCGTAGTAAGCGCGTTCCAAAAACTGAATAAAACCATCGCTCAGACTTCAATAATTTAGATTTCCCGATGCATTTTCAAGTAATGGAAAGAATCAAAGCTGAAACGAAGTAGTCACGCATATTCACGAGCAGGTTAAAATTCCATAAATTTAATAAAAAATAATAATGGGGATTTAGATCCTCTGTCGACTTTGTGGTAAATACACACAAGAATATGACAGGCCAACTCATATTACCAGAACATAATCAATTCATTAATTTTGTTTTCTTGTCGCGTCTTACAGAATTACCTGTAAGTTTGATTGCCTTTCCTGTGTCGCAAATAATTGTAAGGTTGCTCGCTTTTGTTGTTCCGCAGAAACACCATGACCTTGCCTTGTTTTTCTTGCACCACAGAAATAACTAAGTTAGTATCTGTCCGTCTGGCCGACAAAAAAATGCAGGTTTGCTTACATCATAGAAAGGCATGCTGAGTCCCAGCCTTTGGAGTGTGTTGCCCAAGATGAAGACGGGCGTGGTTGAGGGAACGTTTTGCCTGCTCCAGTATTGCATCTTCCTCCTCACGCACCACCAGGAGATGCAAAGCGTGACGAGAAGCAGCGACAGGGATATGGTTCTACTCCAAACTTCGGGGTCTGTAGGATCAGGAGGAGGAGGGAGCTCCTGCACGGTCAAGGAACCCTCCCGCTCCTGCCATGGCTCCTGTAGAGGCCAGACTGCCATGCGTTCCTTCATTGCTGATGTCGGCGCTGCGATGGTTGACAAGCAAACTANTTCCTGCCATGGCTCCTGTAGAGGCCAGACTGCCATGCGTTCCTTCATTGCTGATGTCGGTGCTGCGATGGTTAACCAGCAAACTAATCTTGAGGAGAATAGATTAATTACTTGGTATTATTTATTACATCCACAAGAGAAAACCTATGTTTGCTGTGCGACATTTGAACAGCACACTGAGCGAGCCGAATCCGTTTAATAAGCAGAGCAACACTCGCGATCATTCAGAATACAAAGAAACAACATTATGCAACACACTTCAGTAATACTGCAATGCCTTCGATTAACTCTACACGCACCGCATAACATTTTTCTTACCAGCGCACAACACGTCACCACTATATTAATCCCGCAACACCTCATGCCTCCCTGAGGACGCGACTTACCTCGCTGGCGGCCAGCGCACAAAGAGCGCGGCGCAACTCAGGTCAGCAAGATGATGCTGGTTATCTGATACCACGAGACGACACGAGTGCAGCGTGGGGCAGTGGGGCCAGCGTGGCATGGGGCAGTGGGGCCAGCGTGGCCTGGGGCAGAAGGCCAGCGTGGCCTGGGGCAGAAGGCCAGCGTGGCCTGAGGCAGTGGGGCCAGCGCGGCGCAACTCAGGTCAGCAAGATGATGCTGGTTATCTGATACCACGAGACGACACGAGTGCAGCGTAGGACAGTGGGGCCAGCGTGGCATGGGGCAGTGGGGCCAGCGTGGCCTGGGGTAGTGGGGCCAGCGTGGCCTGAGGCAGTGAGCCAGCGTGGCCTGAGGCAGTGGGGCCAGCGTGGCATGGGGCAGTGGGGCCAGCGTGGCATGGGCAGTGGGGCCAGCGTGGCCTGGGGCAGTGGGGCCAGCGTGGCCTGGGGCAGTGGGGCCAGCGTGGCCTGGGGTAGTGGGGCCAGCGTGGCCTGAGGCAGTGGGGCCAGCGTGGCCTGGGGCAGTGGGGCCAGCGTGGCCTGGGGCAGTGGGGCCAACGTGGCATGGGGCAGTGGGGCCAGCGTGGCCTGGGGCAGAAGGCCAGCGTGGCCTGGGGCAGAAGGCCAGCGTGGCCTGAGGCAGTGGTAAGCGTGGCCTGGGGCAGCGGGGCCAGCGTGGCCTGGGGCAGAAGGCCAGCGTGGTCTGAGGCAGTGGGGCCAGCGTGGCCTGGGGCAGTGGAGCCAGTGTGACCAGGGGCTGTGGGGTCTGGCGAGTGTGGTGATATGGGAAAGTATCCTCAGGATGTGTTTCAGACGTAGCAGTCCCAGGCTACGCTGGAGTGCTGCCTCTGTATTCCCCCGCAGGCAAGACGGCCTCGTCACTGAGGTCTCAGAGGCCAGTCCAAGACTGCCGCGCATCTGCCCTCAGTTGGCCAGCTGATGCAGGATGCTGTTGCTTGCTTCGTGCCGCAGGTAGTGGTGTTGAGGGTCAGGGATTGTATACAGGAACACTTCCAGCCGTCTCATGAAGATTTCCAGGGTGAACTAACCCTCTATTTTTTTTTATCTTTTGGCAAGGTGCTAAACAGCCTCGGTCCCGCGACAGAAAGAGGCCCTTCCCGCAGGGACTGATATCTGGCCGCTAATTTGTTGAGTAATGGAGGTATTCTTCACAGTCTCTCCCTTCTCTCGTTATGCTATGTCTCAATCCAGTTATGCTATGTCTCAATCCAGTCCAGTTATTATTTTCCATGTTTACAGAAAGACATACCTCTGTCGCCTCCTCTGCAGTTGCTATGTCTCAATCCAGTCCAGTTATTATTTTCCATGTTTACAGAAAGACATACCTCTGTCGCCTCCTCTGCAGTGAGTACAGTCCCAGGCGCTACGCCAAGCCCCTTTCAGTCCAGCTAATCCATGCCATGATCCTGGGCGTGAAAGTTTGCTGGAATCCTTCCAGTTGCCGCAATGCACCCACAGTAAATGGGTTCCAAAGCTGGCAGCAGTATTAAGTCATCACAAGAGCTCTGAAAAGTGTGAATGCCCCCGTCACCACATATATGGTGACGGGGGCGAGTGTGGTGACTGTGAAAGTTTGCTGGACTCCTTCCAGTAGCCGCAGTGCACTCACAGTGAACGGGCTACAAAGCTGGCAGCAGTATTAAGTCATCACAAGAGCTCTGAAAAGTGTGAATGCCCCCGTCACCACATATATGGTGACGGGGGCGAGTGTGGTGACGGGGGTGAGTGTGGTGACGGGGGCGAATGTAGTCCTCAGTGTGGTGTCCTCCCACTGAGGACAAGTTCTTCCGGGAAGCTCAGCTCATGGTCAACTCTGGTTGATAAATGAGTACCTGGCTCGTCCAGGGTGTTGTGTAATGCAATAAAATGGTTCTGGCGGGTCAGCGAGCAAGTGATGGTCGTGAAACTACCAGTGGCATTAAGTGCCCGAAAAAACTGACCTATCACCCCCCCTCCCTACCTTACCTAGTTGCCACCATCACGACGGGCAATTACACACATACACACGTTCATGGCAACGTGACGAGACCAAGCTCTTGCAGGGACCTCAAAGATGTACTTTCATCATCAGCTGAACGACTACCTACTCATTATTTATAAAATATTCAGGCATTTGATAACCATTCGAACTACTCCAAAATTTGCTTCTTTTCCAATGGATCAATAAAGTTTAACATCGCACCAGCTTCGTTCGCCAATGCGTAGGGTAAGATCACGAACATTTCATAGCAAGATGATCTAATTTGTTATATTTCGGAATATATTTTACTTAATGCTAAAAATATCTCAACGAGTATTGTATAGTATTATAACGATTCGTTCATTCTACAGGAGCAAGTTCAATACTTGCTTAACCATACTTCATACTTTCGATTTCGGTCAATTATGTTTACCTCGATTCTGACTTATCGAGAACCTCAGCGTTATACTTAAACGCAGTCCTGTTTAACCTCAGGTGCTCTTCACGGTGAATAAAACCACTTCGTTTGTTCTGTTTATTTCAGACTTGTGAACTCGCTGGCTACATGACATACGTAGTACAGCCATCAACTGAGTACATTAGCAGCACTTATAATGCCTTGTGACTAGAGCTTAGGTCTGCAGCAGCCATGTAAACTTCCATCCCACATACAGCCAATAATGCTGCCATACAAAACCGCGACAATCTTCGCGGTAAGGAGCATCGAACCGCAAGACAAGAATATTCGAAGGAAAAACTTTAAAAAGGATAGCGACAACATAGTAGCTATTTATTCACATCAGGTCATTCCGTCAGAAAATACATAACATTTACCGCGATCGGGTGGCGGAAGTCGTGGCAAGACAGCACCAGAGTTGGTGCTGTCCTAGGCCAAGAACAAACTCGCATTAGGCCAGTTAGGGTTAGGCCACTTGGGGTTAGGCTAGCAGCTATAGAAATGGAGACGCTCGTGCAAGAGGCCCTCAAAGCTTGAAGAATAAGTACAAGAAAGCCTGCCTAAAACAGCTCAGCGGTAGCCAAGGCAGTAACCCCACACATCCCGGTACCACAGCTGTGGTATGAAGAGCAGTAACCCCACACATCCCGGTACCACAGCTGTGGTATGAAGGGCAGCTACTTTGCCCCTAGTAACGCCTTGGATTCCCGAGAGGCAGACACAAACAAATACGATGACCTCACTCAAGGGTCCAAGATAAAGGTAAGATAAAATACACATAATCGACCTGAATCTTCGAAATAAACATTTATATTCCACGCACTAGCCTCATTCTTTTTCCTACCTCGATGCTTTATAGCAAATCTCTCTGCTGAGGATCTTAATGCCAAGTGTATTAGGCGTTGCATAACAGGTCGGCTTAGCGCAACAGTCGAAAGCACGCAAGAGAAAAAATCAACTGCAGATACTTTCGTTCATTGCGATTAGATTTTCGCTTCAATAGAAATGAAGCAGACAAATTTGTCTGCACACCATATTGTGACTTGAAAAGAGAGTCAAAATGGCAATATCATGCAATATGCAACAGCCGGCGTGTCACGTTATCAACAGAGCAAGATGCAAGCCGTGGATGTCACGAGGTAAGCAGACACAGACGGTATCATCAGGTGAGATAAGAGACCCAGCGTCCAGCTACTCACTTAATATCACACGAAGATTATTTATCTAGTATAAGAACATCACATTGATTGATTTCTCTACCTTAAAAGATATACAACAAACTAACAAATTTATAATAGAAGATAAACGGATTCAATAAGTAAACCAGCGATAGTATGTAAAGCGAGGCGGTTATAAATAAGCAAGATGCCTGCGTAGCGACGGCAAGAATCAGGCAACAGCGTAAGCAAGAGCTCATCAATACAGAGCGCTTTGAACATGAACTAAACCCAACAAATGAAGTGACACCTCTCCTCGGCGGAGCGTAAAATGTAAAAATTCTTTCCACACTTACAACACTACGAAAACTTATTCAAGAATGAGGAGGCTTCGTTTTTCAGCATGAAGACGAGATGCATATGAGGTTTCATTCTCAAACTTGATTCAATAAACAATACAGTATCAAATATCAAACTATCACACAACTATCAAACTATACAGTATTGTAGCACCGCAGTACAGCGGTAAACGTATATACACAGCACCTAAACATCCCCCAGGTAACATACCCAGAGTTCAGGGACACACACCCAAGGCCATGCTGCAAGCACCACCTTTTGACGGTGACTAAGCGCCGTCCACTAGCGACACTGAGACTTTAACTGAGCTTCCCGGGGCTCGAACCCACGCCTCGCTCCTCCATCTCGGTGCTTTCGTCACATGAGCATAATATCGCAATATTCATCACCACATCACCCTTCTCAATACAATCCGCATCTGAAGGTAAGAAATTTATATATTGTAACGCGATGGTTCTAATGTAGTATAGCTGCGATGAAGTTTCGCAAGATATAATATAAGATATATAAATTCCTACTGTCATAAATAATTTTTACTTATATTTATAGTTATGGTTTAAAAGTAGAATAACTTTTACCTTGTGTAAAGCATATTGCGAAGACTGCAGAGCTGTACCTATGCGGATTGCTCGGAAACGAAGCTCCGGACCGTGGCGAAGCATCCAGGCTAAGCTAACCAGAGATGTCAGATGGGCATTTCTTCAAGTCAAGTTCAACTATTTAGTTTTTTCCAATAGCGTTGGCCGGAAAAATTTATGATGGCGATAATTATTATATTTTATAAATTAAAAAATGAAGGAAAATTAAATTCGTGCACCGCAACCCACATATTTTCTGGTAAATATTGAATTGGCCTCTTTTGGCCTTTTTTGCCGCGAATATGGCCGTTTCTTAGCCACCATCTTACAACCCTCTAGGCGAGTATACGAGACTTCCGTCATAGGACGATTCTCTCCAAAGACGGACGTCGGACAATCAAAAAAAAAAAAAAAAAAACACCACGCTGGCACAAAAGCCTAATTCGAGCCAAACCTTCAATGTGCACAAAAAAAGAGGCACAAAAAAAAAAGAGGCACAATGTGCACAAAAAAGAGGTGGACGCTTTTTCTCGATATATTACACCTGTTCTACTAGCTCCTGTTGAGGTCAGGGTGTAATAAAGCAAGTCTAATTCATGGGTCACTTAGATAACTCGCCCACAACCAAAACTGTTCATTCTCATTTAAAAGTTTTGTTGCCACTTCTATCACTTCATGAAACAAAATACCAAAACTTTTCACATAAATCCAAAAGATATATTTATAGATCGCAAAAAAACGGAGTTGTTATTACCTTAAAATATTTATTTTTCTGTCTTACAGAATTATTTCACAACAACATCATCAACTTAGCACAAATTCATGATGAGTTTCTGCAGTGCAGGAGAAGGAGAGTCTAAGTTACACTGTTGCTAAATTGATTAGTTCTTCACAATTGACATTTTACGCCTGCAGCTAAATTGCAGCGATGCGTAAATGCTGACAATAGTACGAAGCTGAACATTTTTACTCATAAGCTGTTTAGAGTCTCAGCAAGCAGACAAAGTTTTTCAAAGAGTCTCATTATTATTATACTCATAGTTAATAAAATTTCTCCACATTTTACAATGATGAACACACATTAACTGCAGCTGAACTTATGGCGGTCTGCATTCTGTTCGTGCTTGATATTTGGCAAATTCTTCGTTAAAAATTACATCGTTAAAAATCCCTCAGCAGCGAGCAACGTGGCGGGATGAACAGCCTTCCTCTTCCTCATGTGGCATGTGTTGTAGCCACACACTCCTGAACATGTGAGCTGTGGCGCTGGTGCTCTGCCACACCCGACACAGCGCCCACTCGGCCTGGTAGCGCAGATCGGGACTGGAGGCACCCCGCCACACCCGACACAAGGTCCACTCAGTCGCGTGCCGCAGTCTGGCCGCGGCGTCCGGCCAGCACGCACGGCGGGGGGTGACGCTGCTGCTCGCTGCCGCCTCGCCTCATTTGACGTCGCCGCTCGTCTCCTCAGCGAGCCCCATGAGAGCAGCGCCGATCTCGCGCGTCCTCTGCCGCAGAACACAGCCCAAAATTAGGGAATTATACTGAGAACATAATTATTATTTGTTCTAGTCGTAGACGTGAGATAAGGCAGCATAAATTCTGATGATAAATACAGACTGGGACGGATAGATCACACTACACCGACTTCAATTATGAGTAGAACTGATACTTTTGGCCGGTTCAGGTTGTAATTATGTTTTCTCCACACAATTTAAGAGAAAAAATTTAGAAAAAAGATTGTTATTTGACATTCAGCCAAGGATTTCTTTCCCTTATCTGTTATTTCATGACAAAACAAGTCAGATTAAAATTGTCTAAAAATTGAACAAAATATGGGAAGCAGACCTGAGCCTCGTCAGGAGCCTCCGAGATGACCCAGGTGTCGTCTGCGTCAGCCACCGCCTCCCGACACACTGGACACGTGCGCTCACCTTCCCTGTCACACACGCACTCACGTTAAGGAAACTTGCATGGTTGCAAAACCATGGGTTTTGGTTTTAAAAGCCCGAAAACCCCGTGTTCCATGGTTTCAAGAACATGGGTTTTGGTTTTAAAAGCCCGAAAACCCCCTTGTTCCATGGAACAACGCACTACCTTCTTCCTAAAGCCGACAGCGCGGGTTTTGGCCAGGCAACACCTTAAGTTACAATAGGTGCTAATCCTGCGTCGAAAAATGTATCGGAATCTGTCATATCTCAGCTTCTATCTACCTGAAAAAAAAAACGGCTAAAGGGAACCACCTCATTCACCATCCTAACAATCAAGCCTAAATTTCAACAGTTCTCCTGAAAATTTTTCATTTCGACCGTAGATTACCTTCTCCCAGTTCCCAACGGCAACCATCTCCGCGGCACGCTTGATTTACTAATACTCAAAATGTCAAGATTTCACTAGATTCTTTTGCCATAGCTCGCTAACTATTTTGTCACACGTTAAACGAGAACCCCTTCAGTAGCCGTTTAGTTTTTAATTTTTTCATCAGTTTTCCTATACATATAACGACATCGTGCCGACCTAAAATCAGCACAAACAGCCGCTGTCAGCATCCGCTTGCTAGCAGTTCGTCAGGGCTAAGCTGAAATAGTGGCAGCAATGTGATATGCTGGCAAGTTGTTCTTCCTTACTTTCATCTCAAATTTGTTTAATACAATTTCATTTCGAAAGTATTAAACATAACTCTGGAACAGTCACAATTGACTGTTGTTGAATTCGCAATGAGAAGATGAGAGCCTACCGAGAAGTTCAGCTTGAAAAGCGATCAGGAATTGGCTGATAAAGGTGCAAAGTATTTTCGATAAAACAACCCCGAAAGGGCTCAAGAGGCCGGGTTTGGTCGCACAGCACCGAGGTAATCTGCTTGCCAGGGACTGAGCAATGAAATCTCGTTTGATAAAATCATGAGCACTGAAATCTCTGCCGTGACATGACTTTATAGCAGCGCATTGTTAAGCAACTTGGACGAGAAACTTTCTTGGACACAGAATGTACAGCAGCACATGCGCCCTGTAATAGTGCTCACCCTCAAGAAATCATTATACAGCCCCTTTGACAATACTTATTTTAATTCACCAAGTTTTATATGATTATTATCTGAAACCTACGAAGAATTTACAACACAACAATTGTAACATTTTCATGGTAGATCTCGTAAACCCCTCACTGAACCATAACCTCACAAAACCACAACACTCGTATAATTATTGCCAAAACACTCTATTTACACCGATTGCAATATCTCAGTAGTAACGTCACAACCGCGATAACTGGTTTCCGCTCATCGCCCAACACTATTGAGCATCCCTTAGCACTCCCGAGCATTCTCCAGTAACCCATAACATCGGTCAGCACACTAGAGCAGAAGTCCCCAAACTACGCCCCGCGGGCCGGATCCGGGCCGCGGCTAGGTTCCATCCGGCCCGCCGAGGATATTTCTTAGTTCAACATAATTTGTTCCAAAATCTATGTGGCGTTCATTTCTGGTACCGCATGAACTAAAAACGGTAAAAGGGCGTGACATGCCCGTGAAGGTTTCAGGAAGCTTGCTCTTGGCACTTGGTAAAAAAAGTTTGGAGTCCCCTAGAACAAGGCACAACAGGACTCAGGACTGACAGGCCGAGCGCAGTAGGCAGGAGACTGCAGTACCAGGGCGCCCCGACGCCTTCCTTGCAGTACTCCCACCACTGCTGGATGCAGGGCAGACAGTATGCGTGTGCGCACGGCAGGATGACGTCAGGGCGACGCTCCAGGCAGATGATGCACTCGTCCAGCTCTTTGTCCAGGTCGTCTGATGAGGAGCTGCCGCCTGCACCGCAGCTCACTGCGGGTAAATAATGTCAGCAACGGATCAATATTGAAAACCTTCAGATAACAGACTTATTCCAAGCTAAACAAGAAAAGGAAGAATTAAGAGTTTCGCAAATTAGAGATTAAGATAGTTAAGTAAACTGTACATACATATTACACAACATTAATAGATTTCACAATAACTAATTTTGTTCAAAGTGAAAATCGCAACCTAAAAGATTTTCAACTTGAAGGAGATTTTAGTATAATACCTTATGAGCTCATGCTATATATACACATCGAGCTGACCATTTGACTCATATGAAAAACTGCCAATCCAAAAGAAGATGTTTTTTTAATTATGACTTAAACGTTCTAGCATGAAAATATCATCAGGACATGAAACACACCGTGAGCTGCAGCTGCAGCACAGGCACCAGCAGCGGGGAGAGCTTCACTGAACGCGGCGGTGGCCAAAGCTGCAGCAGTGGCCTGGTTGTGGTCCGTTGCACCTGTAGGTGAAATGTGTGGTGATAGCTGCACCAGCTGCCTGCTGATGTAGACCAAATAGCCATAACTACATCATCAGACCCACACCGCCCTCGATAATATAGACCTGACTGTCCTAACTACATCATCAAGCCACAAACTTTTAGGTCCAGAGTCCCAAATCATATTCTTCTGAACTCAATTCGAGCAAAATCAAACAGAAAAGTAAACTTGCACAGCATGAAGCATCACATGATTCGGTGCTTGTTTTCACAACTCTCAAGTTTCTTAAAAAATTTATTTGCATACCGTTACTCAAAAATGTCAAGAGATCAAGAGAGCACAAGCATACCTAGTAATGAAAAATGTACTAGTACATCCATAGGTTGTTAATCATCCTTAGCAGAATGCAAGCAATACATAAAAAGTTAAGTTGTTTGATTTGACTAACTTAGTCACGTAATGCAGACTGATTCACAAGATTTGGCCGACCAATGAAATTGAGTGAATTGGTTCGTAAGGTTAAAAGCAGATAATAAATCAAGGAGGTGAATGTACCATCAACCGAGTTCTGAAGTGATGAATGTCAACTTAACGTTGTAACAATCCGAAAGAAAATCAACTAAAGCAGTGAAAAAGAAATGCTGGAAACCAATACAAATTCATGATTTGCAAACAATGATTTAGAATATCGAGACGTTAGTTTTCCCTGAGATGACACAGCTGAACGTTACGGATCCTCATGAAAAAATTAAGTGAAATTCCTGAATCTGCTTACACATGAGTTAAGAGAAATGTCACTATTGCTCACAGAGAAATGAAACTCAACTATAAATCTAAGCACTCATAACTTGCGACTATAAAGCTAAGCACCCATGAGAAGCCACTGACCACTGGGAGAGCAGGGGGGACTGGTGGAACTGCAGCACTCGTAGCTGATACGTCGGAACACCTGTGGACAGACAAGCTAATCATTTCGCTAAACAATTGCTGAATGTCATTCAAATTTCCCCTACCAAATCTCTAATATATTTAATTTTATATCATAAAAGATTTTTTCTAGAGCTCTACATTATTTGATGCCACTCCAAGATGCATAGAAGCTAACATTATGGCTGATTGTCATAGAAAACGACCACACTAAAATATATTCTAAAGGCCTAACCAGGGAACTACAGGCTTGAGAGCCTAACGTGCCTGCAGGAACTGTCTGATGCTGAGCATCCTGGAGCTCTCGGGGCAGCGGGTGCGGGTGTTGTACCTGACGCAGGCGATGCGCACCGTCGCCTTCCAGAAGACGCTCGAGTCCGAGCCTTTCTTGACGGCGAACACCAGCACCCGACCATCCCCGTCCTCGTAGCGGCGACAACTGCACGCATAAGAAGAACATTATACTGGCATCTATAGTGGGCGTCACTTTGCTTACTACTGTTGATTTAGACCTCAATTTCTAAAGAAACTTGTCAGCGTTTACTCTGATAATCAGTTCATTATTACTAAATGGCGGCTATAGTAAGTAGTCAGTACTTTACATTACTGAATGGCACCCAGCATAAATTTCCTCTTAATTGATTTTTCCTGGTCAATCCATTCTCTAAAAGAGAAGGCAGCTTAATGACTACTCCCCCATATATACACTATTTCTAGCATCAAAATTTGTGCTGTTCAAGTTTTGTGCAAGGTTAGCTTCACACCACTAATATGGTTTAAAGCAAATTGCATCAAGCTGGAATACATTATGAATGCTACTCGACAAACATCTGAGTGAAATTTAAAGGCTAAATATTTAACCAAGAGTTGACTGTATGCAGAGAATTACTAACATTTCATTGAGTTTGGTGATGTAGAATAGAAATTGTGAGTAAGAAAGCGTAGTAGCCGTCGCAATGTCGTAGTCTGCCCCAGCTTGCTGCATGAACTGGTCGTGCAGGGAGCGAAGATGATCCCGCATGTGCAGTCCTGCTGATCCTGCAAGATCAGCTGCACATGATCTGCTGATCTTGTCAGTCACTTGAGCTCCAGGGGCAGGAGGGGAGAGATTTGTAGCTCCAGCCTGAGCTATTCCAGGCTCATCATCAGCAACAGCAGCAGTGGCTTGTTCAACACAAGCATTTCCATCAGAACTTCTGCCAAGACCCAAGCTGATGTCACCAGCATCAGACGTCATGACATCTGAAGTCTGTGCACTGGTAACACCAGAGGCATCATTGCGGTTACTGGTCAACGAGGCTTGGTTTGTTCTCGAGTTTGGCTGGCCTGAGGGATGGAGCCTATTTGCTCCTTGATTGTTACTGGTTGTCTGGCCCATGTTTGGATGTGGTAGGTGTATTACTTAAGCAGTATCATGGATATAAAGAGACAATGCAATACGTAAAAAGGAACAGAAAGAAAAGTTATACTCGGAATTAATAAGCAGATGAGTGCTTGGAGTGTTGAAATTACATTGTACCCAACTTTGATAAGGTTTTCAAGGAAGCATAAAGAAAATCTGTTGATTTTGGCAGACGTTTTTATGAATGGTCGAGTTGTTGAGCGGCCATGGCCTCTAGCTTGGCACTAACAATGCTGCAGAAGCGTTCCCCATACGCTGGGCTCAGGTTGTTTAGCAGTGCATATGGAGTCTCAAAATAGGTATCTGAGGGAAGTGTTTTCTCGTTGTGGCTTCTTCCCACTACTCTGAAAATTTATATAGAAATTATTTCAACCATGCATACTGTGAAATAAATATTAAGGTTTACTGGGTGTACATACACTACATATAGGTATTTTCTCTGCAAAAGATCAAGATTACTGCATATAAAAAGAAGAATCTTTTTCATTTTCATTAGGCATGAATAAATGAACAAGTTTCAGTGACATGATTAAAAAGCTCTTAAACCAGATTCACAAAGTATGAATAACTAAATTAAAAAGTATTAATAATTTTAGTCAATGGAAGTGTGTTATTCTATGGGCAAGTGCATTGGAAAAAAAGTACTTAGCTTCCATTTGAAGACCTAAATTATTTTTTTGATAGGTGAATCATTGCAAAGTTTAAAATTCATAAAGTTGAATTCCAAACAGAATTCAAGTTGCATGTGTATAAATATGAATAAGATAATAACTAAATATTAAAGTCCCTAGCATAATGGAACAGAGATCAATAAATTCATGAATCATGAGCCATTTCTTTGAATCAGTAGAGATAAGAGATATAGAACGCAATGAAATTCAAATGCAAAGTAAACACAGAATAGCACGAGTTATTTGGCATCATAAATTGTATTCACTGGTTATGGAGTGGCATTCAAGACATTTTCAACCTGATTATTTTTTCAGTTATAGCAAGATTTTATAAATTTATCATGCACTTAATTAAGATTCTTGACGTTGGAGAGATGCCAACTTGCAGAACCAAGCTCAGTTTATCATTATTTTTACCTGAATCCAGCAGCTGACAGCTCTATGGTGTAGTCTTGCAGCTCTAGGGTTGTGAGGTTCAGGTGCACGCAGGAGTCCGTGGCAGGAATTGCACTGACAGTAATGATGCTTACACATTCATTTACATCCTGCAACAATCATGGATGAATATGAAATATCAGGTATTGTTATTGTGTGTACACCAGAATTTTACAACAAAGGCCTAGCACTACCGTATATAAAACCAAACTTGCTTTATAAATAATTTTGATTGGATTGGCTACACTTTAATTTATAAGTCAATTCAGAAAGAATCCTACAGTTGGATTAACTATTTTGTTATAGTACCTACGCCTGATAAAATCATTAGCATAGAAATAAAGGATCCAATTATTTTTTAACAGAAGCAGATAACATAATTTAATAACTACACGTAATAATTTTAGTTAATTTTATACATACAAGAACCAAGTATTGTCAGGCAGCAATATTAAGCGCCACCTGACTTGATATATTTCTACCTTTCTACCAGAGGACACAGATTTGTTGATTAAGTGCTTTAGGGACAAATAAGATGTTTCTTTCTAAAAACTCATACAGGGTGGTTATACATGAGATACAATACAGGTACGTATAGGCTAAGACTTTGACCGTTATGTGGGAGTAACTCAAACAAATCTTACATGGCAAACAAATGTTTACAGAGTTACTAGTCAGTTACTGGGGGCCTTACCAAGGTTCCCAGCCCATTTATAGACATCATACTTCCACCCTCTATTGTCACGGATCTAAATATCACCGTCTGAGGTTGACAGGCAAAACCTTGAATGGATCTGTCTGATTGTAATCTATTTCTATATTTGTATTGCACATAAGCAGATAAGTACAAGTCAACATTGGACAAGTATACTCAGGGTTAATACAAGATTTCAGATGTATTACTAGAATATAAAGCAAGAAACAACACTTTTTTTTTTTTGTTTCACGTCATAAACATGTACAATAAACTCCCTGTTCACACTGATGGCGCTCTGAGTATGAATGTGTTAAAAAACAGACTAGATATAGCTATGCAGGAGCATATATTTTGACTAGAAGTGTTACCCATGTTGCAAATTGGTGGATGTTCAGTAGCTACTTGCTTTTCAAAGTCAGTTTTGAATAGATATGGTAAAAAGGCAAGTCCTCAGATCTCCAAGAGACAAGTCAATAGCATTAATTTTTATAAGAATTGGCAACAGGCCAACCCAGTATGTTCTTCAGTGCCAATATTACTATTTTAGGTTATGTTAAGAAATCATCAAGTTCAATGATTCAGGAGACTACTATCATTGACAGATGAATTTTAACAGCACCAAGTTCTCTTTTCTCCAATGAGATGATACACTCTAAAAATAAGTTGTTGTATTAAATTAAAAATAAAAATTAAGAACATATAAAAATGTTATCAAATCAGGCTCAGCTAACCTTCTCAATTTCAATACAATTGGTATTGATGGCAGACATACAGATTTTTAATTGAGTACTATTAATAATAAAAATATTTGTAAATACTGTGGGCATGACTCACTTTAATGATTCCATAGGCTTCTGTAAGCCATTCTTCAGCATTAAGCACTTTTTCTTCATCATAGGCTGGAGACTTGGAAGCTGAAGAAGCCATGAACTATCTTAATTTTCCTATTTAATAAATACCCTACTAAAAATAAATTAAAACTTAGATTCTGAAGAAGGCTATTTAAAATAAAAATTATTATATTTTATTCTGGACAATTTTATATACAAAGAAATCTCTGATACTTATGTAAAAATCACACTTTTCTTGCATCTCTCAATACAGTGAAAACCGAAGTAAAATAAATTGTAATTGTAACTGAAGTAAAAATAAATACAGCAGAAAATTTAAAATGTTTTAAATGACATTAGAAACATCTTATACATAAATATTTTGTTTGCTAAGCACTTTTCAGTGAACACAACTAGTTGGAACATTAGTTTGATATCAAAGAAGCTTCACATCAGTCATTTGTTCATAGCAACAGAAAAACATTGATTTGTCAGCAACAAATTATTTTGTTCATAAATATTCAAGTGCTCTGCCCATTAGTGAAATGTTTCAAATGTTGGTTGCCTTGATCTGAATAAATATAAATTATATTTTTCTTTCGGAAGCTCCAGAACTATAAGCTAAAGCCTTAAAGTCAGTGTTGGACACTGGAATGTTGCACTGTTCAGCATGAGTTGTCCATATCTTGAGTAACTATTGGGCCCTCCTCATTTGGCTGCACGCACTCATGCTGCACGCACTCAAACAGTGCAATGTTCCAGTGTCCAACGCAGGCGACACTGACTAAGGTTTTAGCTTATAGTTCTGGTGCTTCCGATTTGAGAATTTTTGAATTATTTAATATTTTTAAAGAGAAGCCTAGTTTAAATGCAGCCAATAGTTCTTATCCATTAGAAATTGTGAATGGATAGGTATTTACTTTATTATTCTGCCCTTTGCCTGTAAATTTAGGTTTTTAATTTTAGTGTTTTTTCTTTCCACTCAAAACTTTACTAATTTTCTGACTGTTACACTGTAGTTGTGTTCTAGATTTATTGAACTGACATTGGGGCTGGTCTCCAAAATGTTTTCAATAGAAATATGCTGAATTTTTGTAGAGTTTTCTTCTCTTTTAAATTTCTAGTTCAAATATTGACATTGGTTCCAAGAACTAGAAGCTGGATAATTAAAGATACAGCAACAGCATTTGATGTATCAGCATGTTTCCCAATTGAACAAGGGGCTGATTCTTCTTCTTTGTTAACTTCTGACATCTTTAATTGAATGGTATACAGATGGTAAATACTATTTATTGCATTTTATTAAGCTACAATATTCACATAGCCTATGGTGGCACAAGTCACAATCAAATTGATAACAATGCACAATAAATGATTGACCAATCAATGAATAATATATGAATTAATATAACATTATATCAGTAATTAAAACCGACTATTAAGATTCAAATTCCTGTAAATAAAGAAAAATTTGCATATTGCACAGACAAAAAATAACATATTTTGACCCAAGTAAATGAGTACATCAATCTTGTAGAAAAAAAGATTTTCTCTTTT